GCATTGCACTGAGTAGCAGCTCCTATAACGAGCTCAACAAATGCAGTTCCTCCAGGTGTTTGCTAATTGCTGCTGGCTAGTCTGAAGGAGCTGAGTGGAGGAGTCAGGGGGGAGGGCTGCTATACGAAGTGGAAACTAGGAAACTTGGAAACTGCAACTTTGTCCTAGAAGGCAGAGTTAGGCTTACCCAGGAGTTTTACACATCTCAGTGGTTGCCATGAGAGATTAGAGGATTTCTCAAACATGCATGAAAGAATCAAAGCAACACTTCAAGTGTGTTTTTGATGAGGGAATAACATCATGTGAGCCATGATGTAAAGCTCAAAAAAGTCAATTTTACATAATACTGTCCCTTTAATAAGTAAATCATCCTTTTCTATTTTTTTCTTGTTGCTTTCATATGATAAGAGTTACTTTATTACCATACAATTTGAAGGAGAAAATCAATTTTTATTTGTTTTTACGTGTTGTAAAATGGTGTAGCATAAGCATCTCTACTTAGATGCTTCGATCGAATTTTCACATCCACATCAGTGCAGATATTGAACATAATTTTAGATCAGGTATTGGTGACAGTGTGCCTGATCCATAAGGCTATAACTATTTAGTCTAATTCTATGCTTTGTGCTCTGAGTGACATCATGCTTTATTATTTATTTGAAATTACATTTAGAAACCCTAATTGCCCTTTCTGAATCATTTGAAAGATGGTTTGTTGCAGTTTATTTTTACAGGTTTGACCAACGTAGCCAACCTATTGTTATTGTCAGTTTAAGTTTATTTATTACTTATTTTACATTGGCTGTTCTACTCCTAATTGAACTTACTTAACAAATTGTGTTGTTTTTACAGGTTTGACCAAGCTTGTGGAGCTATTGGTGAATTTAAGTGTGTACTGGTGCAGAGCTTTCAAAAAATTAAGTACCTATCTGTGTGTAAAAGAAGCAAACGTTTTAAGTCAATTCAGCACAGTTTTTTTGTGTTTATTTTCTGTAATGGATCTGTATCAGCAATACTAATCTTCAGAAATCTGTATCGGTATGGGAAGTGAAATAGTGGATCGGTAAAACATCGTGGAAACTTTTAAATTCGTTTTGTAACAGCGCAGCTCTGCTTAAAAAGGGAGCAAGGTTCCACTGAAAATGAACTGACCCTGGTGACGGCTTAATTATTTTATGTTCACATAAACCTCTTCCATGGCGGCTTTCCATCAAACATGCTTTACTCAAAGTTGCTCCAAGTCTGCCGCTAAATTATTTTTCGCATAATTTGTTCAAGAGTTAAAGTGAGGAAGACAGCAGCGCCTGATGCTACACTGGATTCCAGCTGTTTCTCATCTGCACACACGCCGAAACCGCTCTGGAGCCGCTTTCCCCGACCACGTCTCAGAACGCAGCATGACTTTGGCTTCTGATCTGATCTGAGAGCGGCGAGAGTCACAAGCAGCGCGCCTCGAGGCTGATCCGCGGCGGGGCCCCGCAGCAGGATCTGCTGGCTGCGGGACACATCCCGCCACAAAAAACTGCTTGAAAAGGATCATCTGGGCACGAGCGCACAGACGCACGCGGGCTGTCATTGCTCATGCACACATACACGTGCCTGATAAGAGCCAGATGTGTGAGAGGATCACTGTGCCCACACGCAGAGGATAATTATTCATGTCATCACTGAAACGTTTTTTTTTTTTTTTTTTTTTTTTTTAAAAAAAAAAAAGTTGGAAAATAGACCCCCCCAGTTTTAACGGGCCCTTGTTGGAGGGCGC